CCGCTCTGGCGGCTGCTGGTCCGGCGGCGAGCGCGAAGTCATGTCCGCCTCCCTCCGGGTGGCGCAGGGGGGGAGGCGGCCTCGGCCTCGGGTCGTGCTGCCCCCGATCCTCTACCTTTCCCTGCCCCCCAACCCCCCCCCCCAGCGGAGAGGGCGGTGAGAACCACCCGGGTTCTGGAAGGGTTGGACTTTCCCCGCAGGCGATCGCCTGGGCTTGGGGTCCCGGGTCTGGGGTCTTTCCCCACCCCCTCCCACCCCCACCCCCCCCACGGAGGCCGGCCTCTCCGGGTGTCCGGCTGCAGGCGGGGAAGGGACTGCACCGACTACCGGCGGCCGGGACTTTGCGCGCGGCCGGGTACCGGGCGGGGGGCGCCGAGGGGTGACCGCGCCGGGGGAAGGGGTGTGCGGGTGCCCGGAGCGCTGCCAGAGTGGCTCCAGCGGCCCTGGTTGCAGCCACGGCCACCACTACCACCACCACCACCACCGCCGCCCTGTTGGTGCGGCCGCTTCCTGATCATGTGCAGCCGCTACCACCTCCCGGGAGCCGGGGAGCGCCCCAGCCCGGGCCCGCGCTGCCGGCCGGCACCCGCGGCAAGAGCACCGGAGTCGCGGCAGAAGCTGCCCTGCGCGGGGAGTGAACGGCTGCGCGGCGGCTGGGAGGGTGAATGAAGCCAGGAGGAGGGGAAGAAGGAGGAGGAAGAGGAGGAGGTGGAGGCTCTGCGGGGATTGGGGATGCGCCCTGGAGCCCCGCTGCTCGTTCACTCCGGGCCGGCCTGGGGACTCTGCCACTCCCGCGGCCGCTGCTGCCGTCGCCTCCTACGTGGTTCCAGCGCGCAGGCCGGTCCCGCAGGGGGCAGGGAAGGGGGCCGGACGGGCGGAGCGAGAGGTGAGGCCGTGTCGGAGGAGCGCGGCGTGTGTGTGTGTGTGTGTGTGTGTGTGTGTGTGTACTGATGTGTGTGCGGGCAGGGCTGGCGGGGGCGAGGGCCATCGCCCTGGGGAGGGGGCCCTGGGTGGCCCCTTGGCTGACTCTGCAGGCGTCCGGATCTGCCCCCAGGCCGCCTTCTGAAACTCGGTGGCTTGTGCTTTCATTTTATTTCAGACCACGTAAGGGGTTGACTGGAAGCGATGAAACAATTCAGGTTTTCTAGGGAGATTGAGCAAGAACCTTAGTTGGGTGCGGGGGGGGTAGGGGAGGGGAAGTAGGGTGGTGAGCAAGACTGCCAGAAAACAAAACAAAACAACACAACAACAACAAATCAGTTTTCTCCAACGCTGGAGATGCAGTTCTATCCCGTGGTTGTGGCTGCTGTTTTGTTTTGCTTTGCTGATCTAGAAGCCTACAGATAAGAGGGTAATATAAACACTTGGGAAAAATTGAGAAATTGCTGAAGAGTAGTAAGGTCGAAAAAAAAAAAGCAGCCAGTCGGAAGCTGGTTATATAATGCGCGATGTGGCTAACAAGAACGGCAAGCTATTTTTATTTTGTTTACCGTATGTTGTGCAGTAGGGACTCCTCCAAACTGGTTCTGTCCCCGAAAAAGGTCTTTAGCTTCCCTGTCAGAGCCGCGGGATTACAATCAGTAAAATTAGACGACCCTTCTACACCCACAGAATAAAAACTAATGCCTTAGAGAGAGGCATTCCGGTGCACTGCATCCGCGGGAATTGTGTATGCAAATAAGTTCTCCTTTGGCATTGTAGTAGTCACATCTCAATGACATCTGTGTTTTATAATGCAGGCTGCTCTTAATATTTAAAAGCATCATCATATATTGCTTATATATTGTACCCCCGTAGTGGGTAGTTAACTTGTTATTTTTAGACATAGCTAGTTACTTTTTTCCAACAGTGTTAGCTAAGCCACTTCTGTTTGAGTTTCTACAGGAACCTCGGAGTTCCTAGAAGCCCCTGATAAGCCCACCTTTTACTCAAAGGTAGTTTGATGCTTGAGCTCATTTTTAGATTGAAGCTATGCCCCCAGGAAGCTACCTGAATCAAAAAAGACAAAAAAAAAATAAAAACCTGCACATGAGCTCTTGGAAAAGGATTGCACCATAATGGTTTATGCTGTGGCATTTAATCTTGGATTGCCCTCTAACTGTGCACCCATCAGTCAATATTTTAGGAGCTCTGCAAATAAACCGGCTTGAATGCCACCTTGCACATAAAGCTGAGGTTGTAGGACTCCCCTGAACCTCCTGCCTGCCTGCCTGTCTTTCTCATCATACAGATAAGTGTCAGTGGTGTAGGTTTTCCATGCACTTACTTCAGCCCTGATCACTCATGTAATTAGATCAGGCTGCCATGGCAACAGACTGTGTTTCTCGTCCATTCAGGTGGGTTTGACTGAACTACTCCAAGTGTTTTATGCACTGTGTTTGTGCTGCCCAAGCCAGACAAGAGACCTCACTATTTCAATTGTATCTTCTCTGAGTCATTTGGATGGGAGACACTGAATGAGGCTTCAAGCTACTCAACTTTTCTAAAGGAGACCAACAAGCTGTTCCTACTGGGTACAGTATGTAAATGTGTCTCCCCAGACAGTGAAAGGAGGCTGACAGTCCTACTGGCGTTTATTGTGCATAGATCAACAAGTATTTGGTACTTGCTAGAAACCTTTCAGAGCTTACTAAAGCAACATTTCTTTTTGTAGTCTAGTGCTCTTGGCTTTGTAGGCACTTAACCCTTTCAAGTGTGAAGAGCACCCCATCCTTCGCAGCTCCTGCTGCTGAGAGAGATGGCTGGCTTTCTAAATGGTTTACTCAGAGGAAATGACTTCTTTGGAGAGTATATCTCCATTGTCACATTTTAAAACTTTACAGCTATTATAAAAACTGGTGCTGACAGTATACAGACATTCTGAATGCATTCATTCTCAATTTGGATCTTTTGCTTATGATCTTCAGTAGTCATTTAAATTTAAATACTTATTTTCTCGGTCAAGCCAGATACGCCATAAGCTGATAGCTAATCGACTGATAATATAATGTATGATGCTGTGTGTGTGTGTGTGTGTGTATGTGTATGTGCGTGCACGCGCATGTGTGTGCTATATGCTGGTACATATGTACTAGCATACAATGTTGGTAATACGGTTTGTAATCAGAGCCTCACCCTCTTCCTTTCACCGCTGGCACTCAGCCACTTGAGTCATGCTTCCACTTCTGGCTTTTTTTTTTGCTGGTTAATAAGAGACAAGTCTCTCAGATTTGTTTGCCTGTGTTGGCTTTGAACCTTCATTCTCAAGTCTTCGCCTCTTGAATAGCTAAGCTTGTAGGGTGCCTGGTTGCATGGTACTTTTACTAGGTGAACAGCTTATACTTATTTTAGGACATAATTTGGTGAGTATTATGCTTTTTCATTAAGGCAACACCGTATGAAGCCTTCTAGGTCCAGAAAAAATCATATTACGGCAAAAATAGAAAGCAGACAATTAGCTTTCCTTGCTGAAACTTTGGGCTGCTCAGGCAGTCCAAATCAAGTAGAGTATTTTAGTAACTTTGATATTTGAAAGAAATAGTAATTGAGAATAATGGTGTCAAGATTATCTGTGACTCTATAGTCAATTTAGAGTTTTATGGTTGAATAGCTAAATGGGTTAAAATGAAATTCCTCCTTGGGCTAGGATTGAGAAGGTACCTCCCCTCTCCTCCGCTCTCCACTTTTACAGGGGGTTTATGAGTGTCTGCTGGTGAGTGAGTTTATGTGGTTGGTAAGCTTGTTGTGGCCTGGTCAGAGGAAGCATTGCTGTGGTTGAAATGAGCTATTAGTTTTTGGTGAGATAAATACATGGGAAGCAAGAATATAAAAGCACAGAAGTTTTGCATGATGCCTTGCAGGTCCTGCATTGTACCTTGTAATGTGTGGAAAAGTACTTTCCTTGGAGTAAAATGTGAGCATAGATTTTTTTTTTCAGTGTACAAGTAGATGTGGGCTAAAAATAAGTATGAAAAAATGTTTGTTCTTGATTAAGGATTGAGAAAGACAACATTTTCCTGTCTAGATTTCGTTTTAAGAGGGTTTGATAAATAGAGTGGTACTTTGTTGGAAATATTATAACTAGGCTTCAGGCCTCTAAATGTCTTTCAGAGAAAGATTGAAGAAAAACTTTTGAGCCATCAGGTTAAATGTCACATGCTGAAGATTTTCAGCAGTTTCAAGAGCTCTTATTCACTAGCCGGGGATTCCTGGAAATAGCCAGCATTGAGAGATTATTACAATGCTAGTAAACATTTGTATAGCTCCTGTTTTTGTAGTCATCCTACAGTTCAAGGACTTATGTTCCTTGTGTATAATAGTTTTTCTTCTGTTCTGAAATGTCAAGTGAATTTTCCTTCTGTATCTATCTGAACAACAGTTTCTGGTAACAAACAGACTGTAGCCATTCACCTGGTTTTTATTCTTTGTATTTTTATAAGAAGTTAGTTGATCATGAGCCCCTGAAACTCATGTAGGTGACTATAGGAGTGAATATTATCTGAAGGTAATACACTTCGGAAAGCCTTAATACCTGCATAAACAAAGTGACAGAATACAGTAAGCCAGACTATTTGTTGCTCTTAAGGGGAGATAGATTGACTTCACATTACTTTATATTTTCAGAGCAACACAAGTAATAGGTTAGTTCGAAATGATCGGCTTGTATGAAATATTTAGAACTGGTCAGCTAAATTGCTTCCAAAGACAAATTCGATTCTGATTGTATTTATCAAAAGCAAGCCAAGCTTATTTTGCTACATACGTTAGAAACAATAAATTGTACAAATACCAGCAGAGGTGAGAATATTCATTTTAGAACTTCCATACGGGACTTCTTTCGTTTTTGTTTCAGATGGGAATTTTTGACTCATCAGTGCTGTTTCATTTCACTTAGTTTAACGAAATAAATTTACTCATTCAAATTTTCTTTGAGGAGTAATAAAATGATGAGTAATACAGGGTGCTAGTTTTACAAACATTTAAAAATGTCTGGAAGAGCTGTAATTGCTGCAATTGGACTGGTTTTTTTATATATGTATATATATATGTGATGATAAAATCAACAAAATAATATCATATTGGTAAATTTCTTTGTAGAAATGGTGTTTTGATGTATTTTATAAATATGTACCTTTCTGGTTAGCATATTACAAATATTTATACAAATATTACTACCATTCCAGGTAGACTAAAATGTTTAGAACTATTAGGGAAAAGAAAAAAAACAACAAGCATTATACAATGCTTGACATGTTCTTTGCAGAACGTTTGATTGATTTTTCTATAACTTTTAATGTATCTCATTTGTGGAGTAATGAAAACGCAATGGTAATTGCCTTAATGTAAGCAAAAATTGTGTCTCGCCTATTTTTCACAAAATTCATTGTAGTATAATCAGAACTGGGGGCAGAGGTTCCCCAGATTGCAGTGTTTTGATTTGGGCTGAGAAGAACTCTCCTTTTTCACAAAGGTGACCTTTAACATGACAAGCTTCAAAGGAGTTATTTAGCAGAAGATTTTAGTGATAATTACCGTAGCTGCTAACCTATATGCACTTACGCTTCTAACATACAGAGAAAATGTACTTTTTTTATCATTGTGTATGACAGATTTTCTTTTATTGTGCCCTTAACGCTGGCCCTGTCTCCCACAGTATCTCCTGGTCTTTATGGACGATCATATCATTACTCAGCCACCTTTTGTGATAGTCTTCCACTATTAATAGTATTGTGTTTCTCCAATGTGCTTTTGAAACATCAAACTTTCCATTTTTAGTGTATATCATAGTATAAAACATTCTGTAGATTGTTTCTTTTTGATGTTGCTTGTGCATTTTGCAATGGATCCTCACTGCCTTACATTTATTCTTGTGTTTATTCCCTGTGATGGAATACAGCAAGTGATATTAACTCTCCTTATTACTGTAATAGTGTTGGGCACACATGTGCTGTTGAAATAGGCAGTCCAATGTGAAAGTAAATTAATATTTTACAACATTTGCATTGTATTTGACTGTTCTGTGCATTCAGCAGAATGGGAGGAGGCTGTAATTTGGACTCTATAAACCCTTATCTGCCAGGTAAATAGGATTATGTGCACACATCAGTATACAAGCAAACACTCTCCTAACAGTGAACTCATAAAGCTCTGTGGGCAAAATCCAGCTGCTTGTAAAAAAATGATCATCAGTTATTTTGAACCTTCATTTGAGACAGTGCAAGATAAAAATCAAGACCTTCTTTAGGGAAACAATATGTAAGATTAAGTAGAATTTTGTGAACTAATATTTAACTTGGAGACTATTTATAGCTCAACAATCTTCTTGGTAGGGGAACAAAGTCTTCTAAGGATTTAATTAATGAATTCATTATTTGTCCTAGTACTGGGACTTGAATTCAGGATTTAGTGATCTTGATTGGCTTTTCCACTGAGGGCTGGTGTTCTTCCATTTGATCCACACCTACATTTCTGGCTTTGTGCTAGTTAACCAGAGATAAGAGTCTCATACTTTTCTGTCCGGGCTGGCTTTGAACCTAAATCCTCAGATCTTAACCTCCTGAGTAGTTAGGACTACAGGCGTGAGCCACCAATTCCTGGCTTCTTCTAAGGATTTAATGGACATGAATGCTTAGGTTGGTTTACATTACACATGGGGATACTAAGGACTACAGAAATCATTTTCTTTGCATAACAGTCCCAGACAAGCTTAAATAAATGCTAACTGAGTAGGTTAGTTAGAAGGAAGAGTACTTTGGCTACTATTCATTACTTTGAAAAGTGCTGGAAAGAAATGGAAGCTATTTTCCTTTCCAGCTGAGCTGTGCTCTTAAAAATAGTGAGTGTGTATGGATGAAAATAATCATGACTACTGAGATGTGTTGCCATGCACCCAAGGATAATTGGCTCACTTACCTGTTTACAGATTACTCACACTGGAGATCATATTCATAGCTCCAGAATAGTTTCTTTCTGACACCCAATATAATTCCAGGCCTTCTCCTTCCTACTGTTACCTGGCATGAGCTTAGAAAACCCAAAGTAAATTTAAAATCAGCCTAAACAAATATGCAGATCAGCTCCAACAATCAAAGATGAAAAATTCATTTCAGTCTTTACTACGGTGGGAATTATTTTTATAATAACTATAAAATAACTGATTCTTTGCATTTAATGTGGCCGATTGGGTATCAACAGTACTTTAAAAAGTATAATTTTAGCAGATAGGACTAAAGAAATACGATGGAAGATCAAGTCCTCAACCGCTTTCATTTTTATTAGAGCATAGGTCTTGACCTCATAAAAACTACTACAAGCCCCAAGCTCTAATGGAAAGGCATATGGAAGATCCATCCATCCATCCATCCATCCATTCACTCATCCATCACTTATTCATTTATTCTTTCACTCATTCGCATATTTATAATACAGTGGCTTATTTTTGCTTGACTGTTGTGGCCTAATGAAAATGGAATAGACATATGTATATTCAATAATGAACTGTATTAAATTTTAGTAGAAAGGTGAATATGTGCATAAGACATTTTTTCTGTATCTTAGACTTTTTAAAAGATCCCATTAGATAGTATGCTAATAGTATACTATAGTATGCTAATAGCCGTATTTGTTGAATCTTTAGTTTCTCTGTGTCTCTTTGGATTTTATGATTGCTGCTCAAGTTGCACATTGATAGATAATATATGCTGCATTAAAATTAGGTTTTGGCTCAATTAGTATTTAATCCATGCCCATTTTCACCTGGTATTTCTTTGTGATCACCAGCATGTGTTTACTAGATGCTTCACTAGAGTCTTTGGAGAAAACATTGACAGTGGCTGGCTCAAAAGTAGAGACCTAGCTTTTAGTGTGACTGAAGAGATGACCTTATCATATACTGGCTTTCCTGTGAGCCCTGTAAGATAAAACCAGACCCGCCTTTTGTGCTGATTGATAATTGTGTAATTCCTATTAAGAAAATACAAAATTTGATTATCTTTAAATGCATATTTCAAGCCCAGTGCCGGTGGCTGAGGCCTGTAATACTAGCAAATCAGGAGGCTGAGGTCTGAGGATCACAGTTCAAAGCCAGCCCAGGCAGGAAAATCTGTGAGATTTTCTTTTTGGGGGTCCGGTCGTGGGGCCTGCACTCTGGGCCTGGGCGCTGTCCCTCAGTTCTTCAGCTCAAGGCTAGCACTCTTCCCCTTGAGCCACAGCACCACTTCCAGCTTTTTTTTTTCTGCTTAGGTGGTGCTGAGGAATCAAACCCAGGACCTCATGCATGCAAGGCAAGCCCTCTACCACTGAGTCACCTTCCCAGCCCCCTCTGTGAGACTCTTATCTCCAATATATTACTCAGAAAAAGGCAGATGTGGCACTGTGGTTCAAGTTGTACAGCCGTGAGCACAGAGAGGCTCAAGGACAGAGCCCAGACTCAGAGTTCAAGCCCTAGGAGAGGCAAAATAAATAATAATAAATAAAGCATATTTCAATGCACAGACTCTTATAGTAGACTTGTATTATTAAAGCAGTTTGTTCTGTTTTTCATTTTGGATTTCCTTTCCTGAATTCCATTGTAGGAGCATTGTGCAGCAAGTCACCAGGGTGGTCCATTCAAGCTCCAGATCTATCTGTCATTGTTGGACAACAACCTCCTCTTCCACTGGCTCAACAGGGAAGTGCGTCCCAGGTGAGAGAGAGTGTGGTGATATCCTACGTTTTGCATCTGAGGATTTTTCCAGGCTCTGACCTGGGGAAATTACTGCTCGTCATGTGTTAGCACGTTGTCAAGGGTCCAATGTAATTTTTAGTTTTCTGCAAATTATACTGTATGGAAAATTAAGAGAGATTGCCCAGATAGTGTGTGTGTGTGTGTGTGTGTGTGTGTGTGTGTGTGTGTGTGTTTTAACTTGGATTAAAGCACCAATCATTTTTGGTTGCATTTATTCGATTCAGGAAGAAATCTGCATTTGGCTTTGTGATGATTATTGCTAATTGGATCTTGAGCCAGAGCATTTTCATTGTTACATTTCCTTAAGGCAATTATGAATGTTCTGATACCAAGTGTCTTAAGTCTCAGTTTCTGTGTTTTAGGTTTTGTTGCAGTACTGTGCATGAGTAGGGAAACAGAACTGTTTGGTCAGTAGCAAGCAGTATGTGATGAATCTTGAATTTCTCTTTTGTCTGTTTGGATTTTACAACTTCCTGATTTCCTCATGTACAGTAAGATTGTCTGGCCTGGACAGTCATGCAGCACTGGGTGTAAGCAGGAGTTTATGACTCATGGTTCTTTGTAAAGAGAAGACAAGAGGCTACTGCTGCAGAGGAAATGAGGATAGAACAGAAGTGAGTGAGCACGTGGGGGTAATGAGGGTTTGGAACACTGGTGTAAGCAACCAAGGAGGAATGTGAAATAAAAAAAATAGAGGTCACTTTCTATTTGCCTTGGTAGCAGTCCTGTCCAAAGCTAGGGGGGTAGTCTAGATCGGAAGTTCCTGAGTCTAGCTGGCTAGCAAAATCACCTGGAAAGTTTAATTAACAATTTGGGGGTCTGCTCTAAATCTTCCAAATCATACCCTTCCCGCTGATCTCCCTGAAAATATTGCTCTTTCAGGAATGAACACTCCATATATGTGGAAACTGCTCTATTTCCTTACTTGGTGAGAAGCCTAGACCTATTTTCCCAAGCCTCACATCCCCAAATCTGGACTTTTTTTTTTTAACCTACATTTGTCAGTAGGTATTTACTTGACCAAGTTGTTTGTTTTGAAGACGATTCTCTGATTCTCCAGATTTCCCCCTCTGTGAACTTAAGATCAAGTTTTTATGTTGACTATAAATCCTGTGGCATCTGAGATAAGAGCCTGAACTAGCCCATCTGGACTCAAAATCTGGAGGGGGTCATTGTGACCTTGAACAATCACAATATACTTTCCAGGCCTCTCCATCTCCAAGTGTGAGGTGGGGTAAGCAAAGGGCTGCTGGGAGAATAGAGGGTCATAATGTGGATACCGTGGATAGAATGGTGCAGGCATATGGTTTGTTAGCATGAAACTTATCTCTGGACAGTTTGATCATAATGGTGTTGTTTTCTGATGGATGCTCCTGAATCACAGATAACTAGGAACAAAATAAATATACCTAGACCTTGCTCTCTTTGGACCAATCTCATAGGCACTAGCCAGCTGCAAAAGCTAATAAGACTTCTATTTGTTTTACTGAATTTTATTCTGAACTTATCACAACTTTCTTGCCATGATAGGATGCATAGCATATCCATTATTATTATCAGAAAAACTGATAAATTGCAAGCATAAATGGGAGTTATTTGTGCTCTTAAATGAGTGAAATACTCACCCCCTTCCCCTCCAGAAAGGGACCTGGAAAATATCCTCTAGACAAAAAGGAAGAAGAGGGAAGGAGAGAGTTATCATATCATATTGTGATCATGTGAATTATGGAACTGGGCTCTACACATTTTATTGACTATAGAGAGGTGCTCTTTAAATGGAACTAGAATACCCCAGAGTTCTCCAGGCCAAGTCTCTGAAGACCTACCGGTATCTACTAATGGACAGGGTAGGGTGTCTTAGAGCTGCTTTCTTTCACAATGGTATTAAATATTGAATTCTTATCTGCCAGACCGAAATTTAGCCTCTGAAATTTTGGAGAAATGACTCAATTGTGTATGTGGTGAATACATGTGCAGGAATTGTTTTAATCTGTGGTATTTAAAGAGAGTCATTGGCCATGACAAAATGCCTCAAGAATTTTGTTGTTGGGGGAAAATAAACAGGCATCAAAAATCTTATCTCTTGGTCTATATGTGAACTTATTGAGAGAGACCTAGGTGTTTTTCATCTAATAAGTAAGTCTAAGTATCTTATGAATACTCATTGTCATAATGACAAAGTAGTGCAAAGTCACCTTGAATTTGAAACAATTGACATGTCCTGTGATTGCACTGATAGGAAGCTTACACAGTTGCTACACATTTTGCATAAATAATGGCCTTGTTGCAGTTCTAGCAGTTAAGGATTGTATATGGATAGAGAAACAGTATCTTTCATGTTATATACTCTTACTTTCATTAAGAGTTCGCTTTTTTTTTAAATGAAAGCCTGGATTATAATTATTCCTAGTTCTTTTATAAATAAGATACAGCTAGAACAAGTTATGACCTAACTCGTTCACAGTTGCTATCTATGTAAAGAAATGATTCATTCATTTATTCATTGTGTATTTTTTTTAAAGCAACTTCATGGGGCTGTGGGAATGAAAAGTGAGTAAGAGCTACGGGAAGGAGTTTATATTTGTCACAGACAGGCAGGGGAAGGAAGAAATGCTCTGAACTAGCTAAAGCAAAGTGGAATGGGCTGTGCTGTACTTACTGGGGTTCATTCTACCATGGCAAGAAGTCTGAAGGGTGATGATGAGTAGGAGTGATGGAGGATGACTCTGAGAGGAGAGTTGTCTTGGTGGGTCACTGAGAGTGGATTGCATCTCTGTGTTAAAAGATGGAGGAAGCTGGAAATCAAACAGACAAACAAACATTTAATTGGCTAGGATTGGCTGAGCAAGTGTCATGGTATGTAACTGACCAGGCCACTGTGGGTGAAGCTCAGGTCTGGTGGGCATCTGAGTCTTGGGAACGGGTAGATAGTACAGATTGTGGGGACAAAGCTGCCAAGAGGTGAGTGTGCAGGCGTCCTTGGTTTAAAAAGTGCTTTTTGAAGTTGGGCTTTGCCTTCTTGTATCTGACTTAGAGCTGGATATTCAGGAGGATATAACTCAGTCTTGGAAGTTACAGGAGCTGATGTAGAATGTACAAAGAGAGGAGAGAGGCATCAGAAGGGAGCTCAAAGATGGATATGGTCCAGTCTTGATTCTTCTTTTCAAGAGCTAGTTTGGGGTGGCCTGGGAGTGGACAGTTGTTGTTGGTTGGGGTGGGTCTTCTGTCAGAACTCAGGTACCTTGAGAACTCATTGCTCAGCTACAGCTCAGTGAAATATCGTTGGATCCTTTATTCCTTTAAGGCCTTAAAAAAACTAGGAACTTGAGCTAATTTTAGCTAAATCTAATATGTGTGTATGAAAACGAATGCTGCTTTTCAAATTCAGTGCATGCGGTATCTCTTTTCATTTAAACAAATGCTTCTTCTATTTTCTTCTAAACAGTTTTATTAAGAAAATTTTCAGTGGAGCCCTGTACATATTAGCCATGATTCCAGCATTTCCTTTGATCTTTTTCACTGTCAATTTAGTCTTCCTTTGTGATGTGCATAAATCACATGTGCCATCTCCTTGGCTTTTTAGCAATTGTTCATTTGTGGCAATTCATTTACTGCACTTTGAGAAATCACATTAATGTGGGTGGGTGTGTTTTAGAACCGTAGAAGATTTCCCAGAGGCTTTCTTAGGACTCCTTTAAATGTAATATGTGTGTGTGTGTGTGTGTGTGTGTGTGTGTGTATTACACATTTATGTATTCAGAGTGTGAGAGAGATTTGTGTATGTACAAATCAAGCTACCAGATACAGCGCTGCTTGATTTGACTTTCCCCCTTATACTTTTTATAAGACAGAGAAATATGGAATTGAGGAGCCTTATCTCTGGAGGGAAAGATGCCCTAAGACTGCATTGATCAAAGTGGAGGGGAAGGCTGTGCACTTACCTGGTTCCATTGGTGTTAGGGAGAATAATATGATTAGGGGAAAAACCAACTGAAGGTTTGATGATATTTTTGACCTGTGTTATTTAGATGGTCAATACATATATATTGCCTCCAAATAGCTAACAATGCAGGGACGACTTTCCTAACTTACATCAAGAGACAAGGTGTTTCTGAAAGGAGTGAGAAGGATGGAGAAAACACTTTCCAGGGGCAGCTCATTCTGTCTGCAAATACTTAACTGAGTGTACTCTATACGAGAGGCATTAGGCCAGGGAGGCCCTCAGGGAAATAGGAGGCGATCAACAGCTCTGAGCTACCCTTCTGAATAGGAACTCATTTAATCTCCCAACTACCATTCTAAGTCTGAACTCATTTAACCTTCCTTGCAGTCCTGTCAGGTAGGCACTATTACAAAGCAGCTGAGACAGAGAGGGTAAGTAACTTGCTCAAGTTTTCCCCATGTGAAGAGATGGCCTCATGGTTGGGCCCCAGCTTGTCCTCCTTAGTGTGGCTGTGGATGATCTTTCAAGCCTGGACTCCTGTCTTTCAGAAGCATACGGTCTCCTACAGAAGACAAGGTGTGCTCAGGTGTAACGTGTAAAGAACCAGAGCCTAGGAATAGTGGGCTGTCAGAGGTGGGGATCAGGCCAGGCTTCCTAGCCTATGAGGCTCTCATTCCGATGCCTGTCTGTATCTTCAGTCACATACAAGGCTGTCTTGGAAATGTTTCTTCCCTTTCTCTGTTCACTCTTCCTCATTCCTCCCTGAGATTCCTATGCACTTTCACTAATTATTAATGAAGGAAAATGATGACAGTAGCAATATGCTTATCTGTTTTGGGGGACTGGCTGAAAGTTGGCTCCAGATGTTGCTCAGCAGTGACTCCCAGGGAGACAATGAACTTTTGACTCTTCAAAGAGTTTCACTGGGTCATTGCTTAGCTTGTACGAGTTGGCAGATAGGAACTATTTATCTCTCCACTGTGCGAGGTGGTGGTGTGGTGCTGAATGCAAGCTT